GAGTCCTATATTTGGATGAAATGGCCATCTAGGGTTTCGCCGGCTTTCAATGTTGGTCTCTGTCATTCAGTCAGTCATTGAATAACCTAACAATCTCTAAAACCGTATAGCCTGGTTCTAGTTGATATCGAGACTTTTCAAAGTATTTTCACGTATTTTTTTTATACAATCTAATCAATCGTATTAAACTTTCATAGAGAGAGAGAGTCAGTCAGTCAGTCAGATGCAACGTAGAACTTTGTACGTAAGTACATCAGTTCATGTTGCAATACCACATCAGCACAGAGATGTAACTGACAATTCAAATCCAATAGTAGAAGAGGTAGTAAAGGTATTAGGAGTAATCGGAGAGGTTAGGATTAGAAGATGTTATTCAAGAAGTATGATTCAGTGAGAAAAGTTTGGAAAGTCAAAAGTAGAGGGGTTGAAGAATCCAGAAGATTAGGATTTGAGAGAACATAAAGAATAAATGCACCGGCGCCATTGCTAACCGTTTTGAGCCATGTCATTCAAGGTCTCTAACCATCGATTATTATCATCTCGAGGACCCCAACCAGGTAGTCGACAATTACCGACATGGCTAAGTCCACTTGTCAATGACTTCATGGATTTATGCCATGTTTTGGTCTGGTTGCCCCTAGCTTTCTTCCAACCTATTCCTACACTACAAAAAAACATAGCTCGTCGACGCAGTCCGTGGTTAGGCATACGCAGCACATGTCCCAACAACCTTAAGTGATGAAGTTTCATTACTTCATCTACTGATCTGCCATCCTTACCTAGTACTCGTTTCCTAATAACAGCGTGAGAGAGAGAGATTTGAATCATTTCTTAAATACATTATGCTTATTCTCACACTATTAGTTAGTTTATGACATTTCTCATCTTTTGTTGTTGTTGGTTGGTTCTTTTTTTTTCAAATAGAATTTGCCAGTGAACGTCTTGGTGCATGTTCAGGTTTTTTAGAGACAATTTTTGATTGTCTACTCAAATTACCAGATCGTTTACCTGGAACAAAACGATTCGATGTAATTGTATTAGTTTTATGTTTACTGGTAAATATGTGTGAACATTGTCCTGAGAATCGTACACGGATTGTTTATTTGGATATCACAAAATCATGTTTAAAACAAGGTGGTGGAGGATCTCCGTCAAAAAATCCCAAAGAAATCAATAAGTACATGGATACCTATGATGACGAAGAAGAAGATAATGAAGATGATGATGATGATGACGACGACGACGCAGATGAGAATAATGCCAATGGTAGTAGTAGTTCACGACAAATTGTAACTACATCTGCACTTGATGAACTTATACAGGTTAGTAATATTTATTACCATTAGTGACATCATTAAACAGATGACTGACTGATCACTATTAGTGTGCATAGTGAGTACTTTTCTAGGTTTCTTAACGGTGGTGATGCTCTAACCTTGATCGATTCACGATTTCAATGAGTAGTAGTGACTAGCTCAGTGAGGATGAATCTTCTCCAAGTTCTGGTGAGAAGTTGTGATCACTAGGAGGAGTTCAACCCTGTTTTCGGGTGTGAAGCATTGATTATCGAAAGGAGTGGACGAGGTTACTTACGCAAGACCGTGAATCGATCGAAGTTAAATGTTAACACCGTTAGATATATTGGTCCAAAAGGTTGTGAGCGTTCGCGCGCGAGGTCGAAGGTGCTGAGTTCGAATCCTGTGAGGTACAGGGGTCTACGGATGCGCACTGCTGATGAAGTCCCCTACCAGGACAATACGGTCGTCTAACCAATGCTTCCAAGTTTCTGATGGTGGAAGTGTAACATGGATTGATTCATGATTTCAATAAGTATATAGAATACACACTAAAGAAAGAGAAATCTGACTTAACAGAATTACTCGATGTAGTTGCCTAGATGTTGTCATATGACAGGCTTACATAATCATATTTCGCAAAAATTATCGTGCCGTTATGGGTATGAGGGCGGTTGTCACTTCCCGGCTGCCCACACCGTGGAAGGTTGTTTCTTGAGGGACCTGAAAAGGAAGAAAGATTAGTGTTGGTCTTGGAGACCTGGGAGCGTGACCACAGAGTCCAAGGGACAACTGCTTGAGGCCGGTCACGCACGGCCTTTTTATGAAAGGTATTTTGAGGATTAGCTCTGTTCTTAAAGGCCCTTAGTGGGCACCCTTACCCAAGGAGACGGGAATCCGTGAGTTAGGGGAGGTGTGACATTTTTAGGGTCGACCTTTTCTAACCCTTCCTTCCTTGTGAGAAGGCAGCATCGCTGCAGATGCTGGTTGTCCGAGGGAAACACCTTACTGCTGTCACACCGCTTCTACAGTCAGCAAGAGTACGACATCTCCCTCAGACCTTGAGTAGCTGCTTTTAGTCTCATCGTTCTCCAATCGACCAGCCTGGCATGGTAGGACCTGCAGGAACATATGTTCCAGCTAGTATAGCTCGGTTGGGTCATCACGATAGTCAAGCCCGACCACCACGTGTCAAGGTAGCAGCTACGGTCGGGTGCAAAAATTATCATGATGTTGGGTAACTGTTGATCCTGTAGGTTTAACAATACTGCAAAACAGACTAATGGACAACTTTTAACTAGCAGTGAGTTAACCCGGAATTTCTTTTCATGCTTACGGAAACGATCATATCATGTGAAACACATAACTCTGTTTGTTATTTTGTTCACACTTGATCAGTAGTGATATCAATGTGGTAGGTAGGTAGGTAGGGAATTTATTTATTCAGCAGTTTTTTCAATGTTCCCTAATAAATTCCCAATTCACAATCTCTCACGCATTGTACACACGATGAAAAAAATACAATTCACAAATTGTATATTCAGCATGCGTTTATGCGTAATGCTACATACAATCACTTTCTAGTAGGCAGTTTTTTTCATAAATTTAACTCTCATGCTCTAATTCTTATGCTTATTCATACTCTCAAATCTCCAATTCACTGCTTCGATTATTCTCGCATTTTATCGTTTTGGTTTTTTTTCATTTCCTGTCCTCTTGCTACTACTTACTACTTACTATCTGTACTTAGGTTGATTAATTGTGTAGTTCACATCGTTATAACTGCTGACTACTGATAACTTGCTTTGGTTAATTTAATGTCTTTTCATGTACATATACTTGGTTACTTAATTACTTACGCCTGCTGTCCGCAATGGAGCATAGGCCGCCGACCAGAGTATAACAGCAGCTCCCCTGAAACTAGTCTTTGTGGTCGAAGAACCTCTACGTCCAATGTGTTTCACTGATTTCAAGCACTTCCAGGTTGTATCTTTTCATTTCTGCAGCTATTTGGAACACTCTTCCAGTCTCCTACATTGTTCGAACCTTCGATATACCTTCCGAAGGAAGAAATTCAGCTTTCATCAACAAGACGTTATAACTCTTTTCGATGGAGGATCTTCTAACTCCAAGGGCAGAGTTTAAATGATTTGAATAAGTATTTTATGGTTGGCGTTTCTTTAGCGACCAACCAAAACCAAAATCAGGATTTTCAATACAAATGTCAAGACAGTTCTACTGTATGGAGCGGAAACTTGGAGAACTACGAAAGGCATCATCCAGAAGATACAAATGTTTATTAACAGTTGTCTACGCAAAATACTTCGGATTCGTTGGCCAGACACATCATCAGCAACAACGTACTGTGGGAGAGAACAAACCAGATTCCGATGGAGGAGAAAGAAATCAGGAAGAAGTGGTGGAAGTAGATAGGACACACACACACTACGAAAAGCGCCTAACTGTGTCACAAGACAAGCCCTCAAATGGAAGTCTCAAGGTCAAATGAAAAGAGGAAGGCCAAGGAACACATTAGGCCGAGAAATAGACAAAGATATGAGAAGAATGAACAAAAATTGGACAGAACTGTAGGAAAGAGATGCCCAGGACAGAGTTGGTTGGAGAATGCTGCTGGTGGGCGGCCTATGCTCGATTGGGGTTAACAGGCGTAATTCAGTAAGTAAGTAAGTTTCTTTAGCGAGTTAGTTTCCTATGGGATGGAGTCGCCAAACCCACACTAAACCCTCCTCCTTTATCTGGGCTTGGAACCGACAGTCACCCTACAGGTGGCGCCAAGCGGAGTTATGTGGACGTACATAAATACATATAAAAATCAATGCTACAGTTAAACTCCAACAAGGATATAAGTAAAAACTGTATTCAGTTTTATGTGATGTGTTTTTCTTTGTAATTAAATGACTCCACCTCCGAACGATTAGTATTTTAATTACTACTACCCCCCCCCTATACAACAATTAATGTAATTTGATACTGATCGGATTAACTTGTCATTTATTTGGTCAATCAATTAATACCTTTATCATTTGTCGTTGTTATTATTTCCCCCCCACACACACACACACACCTTATAGCTATTTCTTACTCGAGAAGAATGTGCACGTAATCATGATTTTGAAAGAGATGATGATGATGATGAAGCGATAGCAGCTGCGGCAGCTCGTAAACGTTCACAAGAAGAATTGGAAGATATTGAAAATAATTCTAAACAATTACGTCCAGGTTATCCTAATCCTACTGTTGAAGAAGCTGGTTTAAAATGGCGTTTAATTGAGGATCGACGAGCAATGAATTTACATAATAGAGGAGGATTTTTAGGTAATTATTGTTAAGTTGTTGTGCTATTTTTTGTTCATGATTCATGAGGCATCTTGTGAAACATTTTGTATGCATTGCTTTCCGTTGTGCCGTTTTTTTTGACCATACTATGTTGGGGACGTTAGATCCCCGCAACTCACTTGATAAAAGTCCTAATTTTGGATTTTATTCATTGGCTGATTAGTCGTCCTTGAGATTATGCTTCCCACCCGGAAAATCCTTGACTTTCATTGGTTGATGTGTTATTTTTGTACGCTATTTTTGTGGCTCTCCCAAGGACGTAGCTATCATTGTATAAAAAATAAGCTTGAGTTGTGTGCTTGTCAATCTTGATTTTCTAGATGCTTGTAGAATACACTTTCTACGACGGACCTTGTGACGCTGGGATTAGAGTAGGCTATCATGTCACTGGATCGCTTGTCTTCGCTTTAGTTTACCGATTAATGTGAACTCGTAATATCATTCAAGCATATCAATTGACGAGCATAACATATTCCAAAGTCGTTTTATCTCTATCCTTGGTGTTATATTCATCCGATTTCTTTGGTGTTATATACTTCATCTCATGCTGTCGGTGGAGTATGACAGCTTAGAGATCAATTCAAATTTTTGTACTGATGTACTATAGATAATGTCTGTCAGTTATACCAGTCCATTTAATTCTATCATTTGAGTTACACACACCAATGAATTACTTTTCATTTTACGTGTATGCCTAACCACCAACTGCCTCGACGGGCATTGTTTTTTTGATGTAGCGATAGACTGAAAGAAAGCTAGGGGCGGCCAAACCAAAACATGACAGAAATCCATGAACTCACTGACAACTGGACTACTAAGCCATGTTAGCAGGTGTAGACTACCCACACGATTACAGTCCGCGAGACAATAGTAACCGGTAGTTAGAGACTTTGATTGACATAGTTCAGAATCATTTGCATTGGCGCGGGTGTGCATTCATTGTTTGTCTTCTCTCAAATCCTAATTTTCTGAATTCCTTGTCACCTTTATCTTCCTCTCTTTAAATTTATTTCACTGAATTATACTTATCGAATCATATTTTCGATTACCACTAATACTGCTGTAATTTCCACCACTCTAGTGCTTGAATTGACTTTAGGTGATGTATGTACACGTACGAAGTTCTACGTTGTAGGTGACTGACTGATTTTTATCAATAATTACAATCGCAACAGATTTAATCAAAATGTGACACATACCAACGAGTATTAGGTAAGGATGGCAGATCTATAGATGAAGTGGTGAAACTTCATCAGTTTAGGTGATTGGGAGATGTATTACGTATTGCTAACCACCGACTGCTTCGACGAGTTATGTTTCGTGGTGTAGGAGTAGGTTGGAAGAAAGGTAGGGGCGGCCAAACCAAAACATGGCAGAAATCCATGAAGTCACTGACAAGTGAACTGAGTCATGTTGGTAGATTTAGGCTACGTGGTTGGAGTTCGCGAGACGAAAGTCACCAATGGTTAGAGACCTTGAACGACATGGCTCAAAATCGTTTGTAATGGCGCAAGTGCATCCATTCGTTGAGCTCTCTCAAATCCTAATCTTCTGGATTCGTCAACACCTCTACTTTTGTCTTTCTAACCTTATCTCATTGAATTATACTTCTTAAATAATATCTTCAAACTCTACTAGTCTTCATTACCATTAATACCTCTACTAACTATCTTTATCACTATGAGATTTGATTTGACATTTGCGTGTCTCTGTGTGCTAATTTGGTGGTATGGCAACCTGAACTTATGTACTACATACGTACGTACGAAGTTCTACGTTGCAACTGACTGACTGACTACCACCAACATACCGTCTTGCACGTTCCTAGTTGTATTTTTTTTTGGACGAAAATAAACAAACACTTTTTGATTATTGATCTCTTGTCTTTTTTTTTGTTCAGTTGAGTTCACATGTTGTCATATGTAAAAAAATAAAAAAATAATCTGTCAGGTCAATTTAAAGTGTGTGTGTGTGTGTGTATTCATTCACTGTCTGATTATTATGTCATTATTTATTGCAATCGATCTAACCGAAAAAACAAACCAAACACACACACATCTGTATTATCTATACAATTTTTTTTATATTAATTAGTTTATCAAAAAAATCTCCATTCATTGCTTGCTTACATAATCCAACACAACCAACAAACAAACTGACCTCTATATATATATATATATATATATATATATATATATATACTCCAATGCTCTTAAATGGAATTCGGATGTATTTCTTTGCTAAACTTTACTAAAACTATTTTATACTGTTGTATATATTCTTGGCTTACACTAATAACTATTATGATACTACCAGTGATACGTAATAATTACCTACACACTTGCTTACGCTTGTCACCCCCACCCAATAGAGCACAGGTCGCGCTGATCAGCATTCTTCAGCCTACTCTTTGTCCTGGGCCTCCTTTATCCAGTTCTGTCCAAATGTTGTTCATTCCTCTCATCTCTTTCTCTATTTCTCGGCATAATGTGTTCCTTGGCCTTCCTCTTTTCCTTTGACCTTGAGGGTTCCATGTGAGGACTTGTCTTGTGACGCAGTTAGGTGCTTTTCGTAGTGTGTGTCCTATCCACTTCCATCGCTTCTTCCTGATTTCCTCCTCCACTGCAATCTGGTTTGTTCTCTTCCACAGTAGGTTATTGCTGATGGTATCTGACCAACGAATCCGAAGTATTTTGCGTAGAAAACTGTTAATGAATACTCGTATCTTCTGGATGATGCCTTTCGTAGTTCTCCAAGTTTCTGCTTCATACAGTAGAACTGTCTTGATGTTATTAGGATAGTGTCATCAAAAATCTTTAATAAAAAATAACTTGCAGTCAATCATTACTTCGCAAAACATATAACTGAATAATAATCCACTACATATCGGTCAAATTATTTTGGATTTTTGAATCGTTAATCAGGGTTGACATTGTACTTATTTACTTACTTGAGGCCGGTTACCCCTAATATGACATAGGCCGCTAACCGGAGAATTAATTTTATCCTGGTTAGCGCACTTTAGCGAGTCGGATTTCTAGGAGATGTGGTTACTAAACCCAATGCACAACCCTCCTCCTCCTTTATCCTGGCTTGGGACCGGCAGTAGCCCTAGAACCGCTCCAGACCGAGTTTAATTGACGTTGTAGAAGTCCGTGATCAAATTATTTATTCCTCATGTTCAATTAAAAAAAGCTTCTTCATTTCAACTATCTGCATTGATATAAAGGTCAAACTATATGCAACAGTTGTTTCATTTCAGCTTAGAAATAAGTAGTATTACGAGCCTTTCATTAACATTTACTGAATCAGAGTTTTCTATGTTCAGTGAATACGTATCGATTGGTGAATTCGGTGGTACCTTGAAAATGTATATATTTTAACTAAGAATGCTTCCTTTTGCCTATTAATTTGTTAGAAACATTCAAATCAGACTCTATTACACGAAGGATTTCGGTTAACAGTAGAAAAGTATATGTATGTATATATATTCTGATGACCTTGAGCAACCTGTCAACCAATCAGGGGGCGATGCCTGGTTATATATAAAACAATTAACAAGTCATAGAATGTAAAATACACTTTGACACCCTACTGTTGTTTACAAACTTAAGATTGAGATTTAGAGTAATAGTGAGAGAGAATTCTATTTTGCTTCATCAAACATTCTTGACTAAGCATTGAATCAAATAAAGTACTTTCAACACAATCTATTCTAGGAGCAGGTATGATTGTCTATTTTTTTCATTGAAATCATGAATCAATCAATGGTTGTTAGACCACCATTAGAAACCTGAACGACCGTCTCATCCCAGTATGCAACTCATTAGCTGCAGTCTGCATCCACTATTCCCTCTCGCAGGAATCAAACACAGCCTTCGTTCTTGTGCACCAACGTTTGACTTCTAGACCACTGAGCTGAACCGGTATTGAACGGTGTGTTCATGTCTAACTTTAATCAATCTCTAAGGTATAGCGCTGCGCAACTTCATGCAGAGCCTAGGACAAAACAGCCGTCTAAACAAATGCTTCAAAGTTTCCTAATGGTGTTAGTCTAACAATGATTGATTCATTTATTATCGGGAAAACTCTTCTAGTCAATCCCTTTTTTTTCCCCCACTGTCCATCTTCTTCATCACAGTTTCATTTCATGTTTTGAGTTCAGAGTTTGACGAATTGCCTTTATATCTATCTATCTATCTATTGATTGATATATTTTCTCTATAAATCTTTTGTTTTTAGGTCGAAATAAAAAACGATTATATCGTAAAAAACAAAAGTCTAAAAAAGCTGTCCATAAACTACGTCAAACTACTACTACTGGTAGAGATTTCGGTGATGATGATGAAGACGAGGAGATGGATTTAGATGATGTTGACGAGTTGGACGAAGAGGATGATTGTGATGACGAAGATGATGATGAGGAGAATGATGAAGATGAAGATGGCGATGACGACGAAGAGGATGATGATGATGACGACGATGAAAGTGTTGGCAGTGGTGCAGATGTTGAATTTGTTGCTGACACACAAGAGGAACAAGAAAAGCTAGCGAAAAGTATGTCACAAGCACAACAACATATGGAAGATTCAGTGGTGGCTGCTTATGCTGGTAAGGCATTTATTTTAAAAGCAAGACGTTGACTCTCTCTCTGTGTCTTTATAATAATCTAAGCTAAAATTTGTTATCACTGTTGTTTACACTGATTTCCCGAAGTTTTGCAGTGTAGGAATAGGTTGGAAGAAAGTTAGGGGCGGCCAAACCGAAACATGGCACAAATCCATGAAGTCATTGACAAGTGGAGTGAGTCATGTTGGTAGATGTAGACTACCTGGTTGGGGTCCGCGAGATGATAATAATCGATGGTTAGAGACCTTGAATGACATGGCTCAGGATCGTTTACAATGGCGCAGGTGTATCCACTCTGTGTGCTGTCAAAATTCTAACCTTCTGCATTCCTCATGATCTCTATCTTTCTCCTTCTAAATTTATCTCATTGAATTATACTTTTTGAATCATATCTTCGTTCGCTAATCTTTTGGATTACTGCTAATACTTCTACTATCGCTATCACTCTTGGATTTGAACTGACAGTTCCGTCTCTGTGCTGACGTGGTATGGTAACATGAACTGACATACGTACGTTCGAAGTTCTGCGTTGTATATGTCTGTCTGTCTGTCTGACAGAAATTTTTGCTTGGTTTTGAAATTACATTGTACTTGCTATATTATATTATACTCAATTCTCTCTGTGTCTGATATTTTTCACTAGACCCTTTTTTTTCCATTCACACAGTAGTAAACCATAGACAGAGTAGTAAGTAGTTGTCTAGAAATAAAAATTGCATGCATGGCGTGATCACAGTAGATTTTAGACTACTTACTAATGAATGGAGTGAGAGAGAAAAACTATCATGACCTACCTGGCTTATATTAGTAAATGAAGATGTTTAAAGGTTATATGTACATATCTGGCAAAAGAAATAGATATTTTTATATCCAAATATATATATATATATATATACTCCATCTGGTCTTGCGATGACTGCTACTGCTGCAATCAGCAGCTACAACGTAGAACTTCGTACGTACATACATCATTTGAAGTTGCCATACCAAATCAGTATACCGAGATCGAATTATCATTTCGAATCCCATAGTAGTAGAGCTTGCAGAAGTTTTGGCGATAATAAAGGATTTTATGGTTTTAAAGATAGTACTGAAGATGTCCGTTTGCTGACTAAAGGACGAGTGTACTGGGCAGTAGTTCACTCCGTTTTACTTTATGGCTGTGAAACATGGCCTGTGAGAGTAGAAGATATTCGTCGGTTATTGGTTTTCGATCATAGGTGTCTTCGAAGCATGGCTCGTATATCGTGGGACACCCGAGTGAACAACGCTGTTATTAGGAATCGGGTGCTAGGTAAGAATGGCAGATCAATAGATGAAGTGGTGAAACTTCATCAGCTGAGGTGGTTGGGACATGTGTTGCGTATGCCTAACCACCGACTGCCTCGACGAGCTATATTTTGTAGTGTAGGAATAGGTTGGACGATAGATACGGACGGCCAAACCAAAACATGGCAGAAATCCATGAAGACATTGACTTAGCCATGTCGGTAATTGTCGACTACCTGGTTGGAGTCCGAGAGATGATAATAATCGATGGTTAGAGACCTTGAATGACACGGCTCTAAATCGTTCGCAATGGCGTCGGTGCATTTATTCTTTGTGTACTCTTAAATCCTAATCTTCTGGATTCTTCAACACCTCTAGTTTTGTCTTTCTCACCTTATCTCACTGAATCATATTTCTTAAATAATATTTTCTAATCATAACCTCTCCGATTACTTCTAATACCTTTACTACCTCTTCTACTATTGGATTCGAATTGTCAGTTATATCTCTGTGCTGATGTGGTATGACAACATGAACTGATGTACTTACGTACAAAGTTCTACGTTGCATCTGTCTGTCTATCTGTCTGACTCAATGAGTATAATCCAGTGAAATAAGTTTAGAAAGAGAAAAAAAGGTCATGATGAAGTGAAAAGATTAAAATTTGCGATAAGACAAACAATGAATGCACCTGTACTATTGCAAACGATTTTGAGCTATTTTATTCAAGATCTCTAACCATTAGTTACGAGTATGTTGCGAACCACAACACCTACCTGTGAGGCTCGGTCCACTTGTTAGTGACTTCATGGATTTCTGCCATTTTTCGGTTTAGCCGCCCCTAGCTTTCTTCCAACCTACTCCTTCATCAGACGTCACCAGTCATCGAGGCAGTCGGCGGTCGGTCATTCGTAACACATGACTCAACCACATCAACTGATGAAGCCTTACTATCTCATTTATTGATTAGCTATTCTTACCTAGTACCCGTTTCCTAACAACAGCATTGTTTACTCGATAGACCCAAGATAAACGAGCAATGCTTCGGAAACCCCCTATGATTGAAAACCAGTAGCCCTACAAATCCCTTCTACTTTTACAGGCCATGTTTCACAGCTATATAGTGGGAGGGAGTGAACTGTTGCGCAGTAGAATTCATCCTTTGGTCTAGCAGACCGATATCTCACCGAAGCCATCCATGAGTGACACAAATTAGCAAAAGCCTGTCGAGCCTTCTGTATTGCTCACTACACTTAATACTACTTCGATTAATTCATAGGCCTATTGATGCTTATGGCTATCTGTCGTTGTTGTCTATACTGAATTGTGTTTTCGGTTATCGCTCTCTGGTGATAAGATATTGCTAGAACGTTTAATAAACTACTGTAATTTTTTTATGTACATATATGTATAATATTAAACCGTTCAACTTTTCCCTATCTCTCTGTCTCTCTTAAAATTTTTATTCAGCTCTCCTACTTGGCTGTATTCTCCAATCAAGTCCTCGTTACACCGATCGTATTCGATCCAAACTACCCGATGGTCAATTTCGTCCATTAGCAATTATGTTAGCTAAACTGTTGAGTTTCTTATCGTTAACCAAAGGTGTCGGTTCGTCCGGTTCCGAATCGATTCTACGCATTGTTCGAATTTTGGAAGCACAAGATAAACAACACACCAAACTGTCGTCCGCATCTGATGATCATGATGATGACGTTACTGGTGGTGACAGTTAGTCGGAAATGAATGAACGGAATATACAACAGACAGACTGTTCCTTTGCTTGATTTTTTGTTGATATTCCCTTTTTTCCGGGCGGGGGGTGGTGTCTATGTTTACTGAGTGTTTCTTTGTGAAACAATCACTGCTTTGTGCTCTCTCTCTTCTTGTCACCGTTGTCACCACCGTGGCCGACGCCGCCTCCGTTGTCGTCGTCGTCTTGATTATGTCCTTATCGTCGTGTCCGACTATTGTTATGTCACTATTGAATTGAATATGTATGTATTGTTATTGGCTCATACCTGCGCGCGCACACACACACAGGTAGATAGGTGTGTGTGTGTGTGCGTGTGCTCGTGTGTGTCTCTTTTCAATTAGTTCCCTAGATTTTCTTATATTAATTATTCTGCACATAGTTTTCTTGTTTTATCTTGTTGGTTTATCTTCATCGTCGTGGTCATCATCAGCGTCAGCATCTGGTTCTGTTTTGTTGATTGTCGTCTGTCAACACACACACACACACACAACAGCAGCAACAACAATCAAACAATTGAAATGTACCACATTCAGTTATGATGATGATGATAAGATGATGATTGTGTTCTTTGAACCATGAAATTCCACTTGAACTGATTTCAAACACCCCCATTCAGTATAGTTTTTTTTGCTCCCTATTCATTATTATTATGTACAAAGTTGTAGATGGAAAATTTTTAACTTTTCAATTGATCCTCTCTCTCTGTTACTATATTATTATAGTCAAGTGTTGATCGAAATCACACTCTCACACACACAGCCACACACGCATTCATTACCTTGTCTTTTCATTCATGTCACCCACCGACCACCATTGTCGGTGGTGGTCTTCTTACGGTTTTCTTTCCTTGAAAAACAATCTGGGCTCTTTTGTGTTCTATTTTCCACACACACACACAGATTGTGATGTACATAAAAATTGTGAGTAATATTTATAATAATAATAATAATTATAATAATAATGATAATCACATAGTAGTTTTCTTTTCTTCCTACCTCTCCTCTTCTCCTGTTCTACACACACACACACAAACAAACAAACAAATTCGTCTGCCTTGATTGATTCAACTTTTCCCATTTTTTGCGCGAAGAAACAATGAATGACCTTTGTGTGTGTGTGGGTGGGTGTGTACGTGTTCTCCTCACAAAACTCTATTCGTCACCACCACTATGTCGTGTATCATATTCCTCTTCATCGTCTTCTTCGTCTCCTTCTTCTTCCGCGAATGATGATGTAATTTAGACTGTCTACACATATGTGTGTGTGTGTTCACATCGTCAGCAGCAGCAGCTTCTCTTTCTCTTCTACGATGTGTGTGTGTGTCTGTATGCGTTGAATGAGTTGCTCCGTCAATAATGATTAATTCTTGTGTTGTTATTCCTTCAATGATGTGAATGGTGATGTGTTGTATCCTTTGTATGACACTGTTTCACTCTTTCTCTCTCTCTCTCTCTCTCTGTTTTGTACATGAATGATTTCAATTTTTTTGGGGGGTGTATTTATTTATATATAAAAAAAAGAAATACATTAACATGAAGTTTATTTTGTAACAAAAAAAGGAAAAAAGATTATGAACATTCTAACTTTGAAATGCATGCATCACCTAACAACGTCACTCACTCACTGTATGTACAACAAACAGTTCGCTCTATGGTCATAGATGTTTTCGAGGCCATTTGCTTGTTGTATTTCTTGGTGTGTAAAAAACTACTGTAGTGAACAATGAAAGGACCAATCTCTATACTGCACAGTAAGTAAGTAGTTCAGTTCGTCCTTTTATATTATATAGGTGCGAAACATGACTAGTAAGAAAAGAAGATATTTATAGATTACTGGTTTTTGATCATAATATGTATCTCCGAAGCATTGTTCGTTTATCTTGGGATTGTCGAGTAAATGATTTGATGTGGTTGGGTCATGTGTTGTTACGTATGCCTAACTTACCGACTGCCTCATCGAGCTATGTTTTGTGGTGTAGGGGGATAGGTTGACCAGTGAGAGTGAAGGATATTCGTAAGCTTTTAGTATTCAATCATCGGTGTCTTTGAAGAATTGCTCGTATGTCCTTGGACAACCAAGTATGTAATGCGGTTGTTAGGAAACGAATAGTGAGTAAGGATGACAGATCAATGGGTGTAGTATTGGGACTTCATCAGTTGAAGTGGTTAGGACATGTGTTACGAATGTCTGACTATCGACTACTGCCTCGATGAGCTATGTTTTGTGGTGTAAGAGTAGGTTGAAAGGAAGCTAGTGACAACCAAAGCATAAAGTTACTGACAAGTGGACAAAATCATGTTGGTAGATGTAGACTACTTGGTTGGGGACCGCGAGACAATAGTAACCGATGTTTAAAGACTTTGAATGACATGGCTCAAAATCGTTTGCAATGACGCAGGTACATCCACTCCTTGTCTTCCCTCAATTCCTAATCCTCTGCGTTCTCCATCACCTTTATCTTTATTTCGGGTGAGGTTCGGACGATAATACTAATCATTGGTTAGAAACGTTGAGTGACAGTGGCCTAAACATTGAGCCTCAGTGTTTCTTCATGAATACCTCTTCATTCCGTCTTCGTAGATACTATTGCTTCCGTTCGTCTCGTGCTAATGTTGTTGAGTGGAATTGATTATCTCGCAGCCCCAACATCTCTGTATCGTACTTCACTCTTTTGGCACATTACTCACTCTTCACCGCCATCAACAGTGAGAGATGCTTTGATAGCGATAAATTAGTGCCTAACCAACTCCACTACTCAACATCTTGATACTTTGTAGAAACAAAGTAAAAGATGTTAAGAGTTGTTAAGTTTTTATAAGCTATTCAATGCTTGAACTGATTTACACATGTCTCCGGTTCTATGTTGTATTCTACTGACTGACAAGCTCCTCTGCTCACTATCCTCATACTAAGATGTGGAAATGAATATCTCTCCCAGTATCACTAAAAAACTCGCGTAACTATTTGTTTGTAAAAACAAAGCAAAAGATTTTCTGCATCTCTGACAACCAGTTTGTTTGCATCTATAAACACTGATGAGTACGAATAAGCCTAATGTGACCGAAGAACTTGGCGCCTTAAAGTGAATGATCAGAAACAATCCGCTAGACTGAAACCGAGATCCTAGTTTGACTCGATTCCTAACCCGCTTGTCACAGAATTGAAAAGAGCGGGAGAAACTGGTTTTGTTGCAAAGCCTGGGAACTGGTCAGAATGACGCGAAGTGTAGAACTCTAGAATTCAGTAGGAGGCTATTCTTGACCTTGTAAATGTTGGCACTAGTCAATCAAATTAATCCACAGTCTTGCACCTAATCGGATTCTGCGATCTACAACATTTAGTGGTGTAACCAAAGGTTTTACTCTCTTAATTCATATACAGAAGATGATCACTGAGTTAGAACCAGTGATATTCTTCAGAAAACAATCTCAGTTGGCCGCATTTTGGCTCCTCGGCATCATTCAGTGACGACCTTGAGTTAACTAATCAGAATTCAGATATTGTCTCATGTATTTCTCACGAAATTTAAATTTCAATAATAGATAACTTGTATGTTATTAAACAACGAAGTAAATGTCGACTATTTGTTATGATGTCCTGAAGTGATTCAGAGATGGTGCTTCAATCATACCTGCTCCTAGAATCAATTATGTTAAAAGTACTTTATTTAATTCAATGCTTAGTCAAGAATGTTTGATGAAGCAAAATAGAATTCTCTCTCACTATTACTCTAAATCTCAATCTTAAGTTTGTAAACAACAGTAGGGTGTCAAAGTGTATTTTACATTATATGACTTGTTAATTGTTTTATATAACCAGGCATCGTTCCCTGATTGGTTGACAGGTCGCTCAAGGTCACCAGAATATATATATATAAACATATACTATCCTAACGTTAACCGAAATTTCTAGCAGTTACCACCACATCATCAATCAATCAATCCCTCGTGTAATGGAGTCTAATTTGAATGTTTCTAACAAATTAATAGGCCAAAGGGAAGCATTCTTAGTTAAGATATATAAATTTTGAAGGTACCGAATTCAATACGTATTAACTGAACATAGAGAACTATGATTCAGTGAATGTGAATGAAAGACTTATAATACTACTTATTTCTAAGCTGAAATGAAGCCGATTTCTCATGTAGTTTGACCTTCATCAGTTGATATTAGTTAGTGTTGAGAAAAAACTATTTTCTTAAAAAGAACTAAAAAGAAACTTAATGATCAATGCAGATAGTTGAAATGAAGTTCTTTTTTACTGAACATGAGGAATTCTACTGAATTATACAATGTCATTTTAATTCAGCCTGGAGCTGTTCTAGGGCTACTGCCGGTCACAAGCCTGGATAAAAGGAGGTGGAGGGTTGGGCAGTGAGTTTAGCAACCACATCTCGTAGAAATCCGACTCGCTAAGAAAGTGCGCTAACCAGGAAAAAATTAATTCGCCGGTTAGCAGCCTATGTCCTATTAGGGGTAACCGGCTTAAGTAAGTAAGTAAGTGAGTAAGTACAATGTCAACCCTGATTAACGATTCAAAAATCCAAAATAATTTGACCGATACGTAGTGGATTATTATTCAATTATATGTTTTGCGAAGTAATGATTGACTCCAAGTTATTTTTTATTAAAGATTTTTGATGACACTATCCTTATAACATCAAGATAGTTCTACTGTATGGAGCGGAAACTTGGAGAACTACGAAAGCCATCATCCAGAAGATACAAGTATTTATGAACAGTTGTCTATACAAAATACTTCAGATCAGTTGGCCAGACACTATCAGTAACAACCTATTGCAGGAGAGAACAAACCTGATTCCAGTGGAGCAGGAAATCAGGAAGAATCGGTGGAAGTGGATAAGAAACACATTACGAAAAGCACCCAACTGCGTCACGAGACAAGCCCTCACATGGAACCCTCAAGGCAAAAGGAAAAGAGGAAGGCCAAGGGACACATTACACCGAGAAATAGAGACAGACATGAGAAGAATGAACAAACATTGGACAGAACTAGTAAAGGAACCCCATGACAAAGCAACTTGGAGAATATTAGTCAGCGACCTATGCTCCATTGGAGTTAACAGCTGTAAGTAAGAAAGTAATGTGACCCCATAAATCATTACTGTCAGTATTTCATTTTCTACTACATTCCAAATAATTACACCATTTTATTCGGACTATTTTATTTTATTGTATTTTTATTTTTCTCTTTTCTTCTAATTTTCTTCATAAATTTTATTCAATTCAAAATTCAATAAAAGATAAAAATAAATAAACTATCCAGTGTTTTTTGTTTTAATTTTAATTTATTTTTTGTCATTTAAAACAAAACCAAAAAAAATGAAGCTTACAACACGGTTGTTATAGTAATTTTAATTTAAAAAATTTAATAATAATAATAATAATAATTGACAAATTTTTTTCTAAAAATCTAACAAAAATAACCGGAAATCAAATCTATTGATAGATGATAATTGAACATGATTTGAATAGAATGTGGTTTAAAATTAAAATTTTTTTTTAGAAAAATGACTGGTAGAAAACAGTCGTTGAACAATGTTTACAATACTAGTAGATACGTAAGGAGTGTTCAGTAAGAAGTAAATTCATACATTTACTAGCCTTTATTGTTGTGAAAAGAGCGAGAGAAGGCAGAATTACTTACTTACTTACTTACGCCGCCAACCAGTAGCATTCTCCAACCAACTCTGTCCTGGGCTTCTCTTTCCTCCAGTTCTGTCCAATGTTTGTTCATTCCTCTCATATCTTTCTCTATTTCTCGGCGTAATGTGTGTTTATTGGCCTTCCTCTTTTCCTTTTGCCTTGAGGGTTCTATGTGAGGGCTTGTCTTGTGACGCAGTTCAGTGCTTTTCGTAGTGTGTATCCTATCCACTTCCACCACTTCTTCCTGATTTCCTCCTCCTCCATCGGAATCTGGTTTGTTTTCTCACAC